GCCGTAGAGGGACCCTTCCCTCTCGCCTTGGATTGAAAGGCGCCGCCGACGGACATGAGAGACGCTCACCCTAGAGCAGGGGGGATGCAGACCTCGAGTCCTGGGATAGTCACAGAGCACAACCTACTAGGACATGAGCACACCTCATCTGACACACCAAAGCAACCTAGGACACCCGAAAAACAGCAGGAAAGCCACCGGGAGGAGCCACTGAAGAATGAGCAGCACGGACATCAGGAAGGCCGCAGAACGACGAGGAGCAGGAGTCGTCGGCCGCTGAAGAGAAACACTGGGCGTCCACGGCCAGGGACAGGCTGCTACTGTTGGGAAGAGGAACCCTATCCCCTACCGCCGGATCACAGACGCCGTACCGCCGGAGCTGAGCCAAACACGCCTCCGCCGAGGAGCACCACACTTGAGGGGAGCGGGGACAGACTGCCCTGCGAGCCAGACCAACCACAGCCACCTGATAACCAAAGCCGCCCAAAACTCCACCTTTGCCGCCCCTCACCCGAACGCACACTCCCTAGGCGGCGCCTCCAAGGAGGGCACGACGCAGCGCGCCGTCACCGCCCAATCCAATAAGGATTTTGGGCTTTCACCCGGGAGGGGAACGGGGGTGGATAGGGTTGGGATCTCAGCTGCACCTCCAAGGAGGGAGGGCGGCGCTGCCGCCGGGCCGGGCCAGCCGACCAATGGTTTCCCACGGTCCCAAAACCGCACCACCGCGCACCCATCCACACCATTCCGGCGACCAAAGCTGCTGGATCCGGCGGGGATGAGGGAGCTGAAGGGGAGGGAAGTCAAACCTCAGATCTGACGAGGAGGGGGATCTCCACGCCGCAGCCACCACCCGCCGCCGTCCCACCACCCGCGTGGTCGGGCACGCCGGCTAGGACCACCCACGGACGCCGCCAGCCAGGAGGGCGCCGCCGCCATGCCAAGGGCCGCCGCCCCAGATCCGGAGTCCTCCGCCAGAAACGAAGCGAGCAGGGCCTCGCCGCCACCGTCACCGGCGACCGTGAAGGCTTGCCGGCGGCCACCTCGGGTGGCGACGAGGGGGAAGGGGGTGAGGGGTGGCGGCGCTGGGCGGAAACCCTAGACGCCTCCCGAGTCGCCCGAGCGGACGACGCGGGGGCTGCGTGGGCGCAACAACCTTCAACCAGTGACGTAGCTAGGATTTCCCCACAACCCAAGCCATCCTTGTTGGTACAGTGAACACTGTAGCTATAATGTGGTACTGTTTGCTATTGTCAACGAAGTGTTGACTCTCTACGACCCAGGCCACGCCCTAGGCAGCTTGGGTGCCTACGCCCCTGCTTTGAAGGACACGATGAAATTCACATGGAGGCTTGCGTCTGAGCCAGAGATACACTAGGTGAACGGAAACTTGTTCATGATCCATGTGTTCTTCCTTGGCGAGCGAAACAGGGTTCTCCTTATTGAAGACTATGATGGCAGCGATAGGCCGGACTCGGTGAAGCTTTATCGAATCCAGGCTTGGGCACATATACAGATCATCCTAGAGCTATGTCTAGTCATTGCAAACCAGCTATCAAGAATGACATGGGAGAGCATTGAGATGAATCCAATTTGAGTGTTTGGGGTAGGGGGGGGGGGACTGAATGTGAATGTTTTGAAATTCCAAAACATTTTTATAATTTTGTAAAAAATATTTTAAAACTTAACATTTTTGGCAATTGAAAAATATTTTAAATTTCAAAACAGGTTCTAAAATGTATAACAAAGTTCAAAAAGAGAAAAATTTAAAAAAAAGAAAAAAAATGAAATTATAGAATAGAAAAATAATACGCTCAGGCCTTGCCTAACCGGGCGAAGGCATCGCTCCCGTCGGCCGCCCAAACATTTGCCGATTTGAAAAAAGTTCATCAATTTTGGAAAAGAATGTTTATGAATTAAAAAATATACGGGCTTTATAAAACTTTGTAAAAGTTGAAAAGAGTACCGGGATATGGAGAAACGTTCATGAATTTCAAAAAAAAAGTTTGTGACTTTAAGAAAATGTTCACGAAATTAAATAGAAAAAAGATCGGGTTGGGCCGAAGGTTCTGTCTCAAAGTAGTACTATTTTTCAACATCGTTCAAATGGACACAATTTTTTCTAGGGCCTTGTATCACCATTCCCAGGTACCATGCCAAGTTTTTGCTATTTTGATAATTCTTCATTTTCAAAAAATGTTCGTGCTTTCAGAATTTATTTGGAATTTAGAAAATAATCCCATATTCAAAGTTTTTCTACACAAATAAAAAAATCACGGAAATTCAAAATAATTTGGTTGCAAATTTTTGTTCATATCTTCTGATTTTTTGCTTCTTACATTTTCCTTGTTCAGCTGGTGTGCATCTTTTGTGAATAGCCTGTCGTGACTGTATTTTCGGTTGGCCTACAGTCGGAGTGGATGGCATCTTTTGCGCTGATAGAAGATTGAATGCTCCAACTAAAAATAGAAAGATGGAATGCTGGCATCAGGTGCGACGCCTACAGTTTTGGAGCGATCCTATGGGAATTAATTAGCAACGCTGCGTGCGCCTTGGAGTGTTCTGAATCCAATGTAAGTCGTCGGAGTAGTTGGGTTTCGGAGCAAACGGCTAGGCATTCCCAAAGAGGTCAACCCACTGGTGGCTAGCATACTATCTTCATGTTGGGACAAGTAAGATGACAAATCATTCTTCAAATAATATGCTGCTTTTCTCAATTTTCATTTTCTCTTTTTTCTGTCACCTGCCTCACTGCCAATGACTTCGACGATCTTTGGTGCAGTGATCCAAACAAACGGCCATCCTTCTTAATTCCAAACTTAAGAAGATGTGACGCAACAGGAAGTGTTCTGTGCCGTGGTAAATAATTTGAGCGGGGTGGGGGTGATTCTGAGAACCAGAATTCACAACAATGACATGGTACTGTTTTTTGTTGGGTTTAAACATAAAATGGAAGGAAAAAAAAGGGAACTACTAGTTTTTTATGTCTGCAGAAAGTTGCAGGCTAGCTAAATATTTACCACATGCAGTCTTGTATATCATGTATACAGATGTTACTTGGCATCTCTATGAATGCATATTAATACCTGGTTATCTCCTCTTTTATCGATGTTACCGCATTTTATAGCTGTTATTAATGGAGATACTGTCATATTACCATGCCTTCTTTTGGTGTATCATGTGTTGATGTGAACCAAAATATTCCTAGACTCTTTTTTTTTCAATCAGAGGTGACATTCCATATATGGAGAAAAGTAAATAATTAGAATTGCCATGCTCTCAAAATATACCTGGACTCTGCATAATGCTGAACGCTGCCGTGTGAGAGAGCTGATCGCTGATTGCTTGATTGTTTGAGTCACTAGAAGTGGCCTATTCGTTCCCAGCAGTGGCCAGAGCTGTTCTCCTTTGTGCTATGGGATCCTCATTTATCTACAAAGATACAGTAGTAGTACAGAAGAGTGAAGACCTCAGATATTTTATTTCCAATTGCCTCTGTCTGAGCAGTTAGCAGGCCTGCTCCCAGTTCAATGACAATGATCTCCACCTTGGCTAATTTTGTGCTGATCTTTTCATATATTAACTCAGTACTAATGACAGAGCAAGATCTCTGGACATATAAACTGAATTTCGTTCACCTGGATATTCTTCTACTTCGCACGGAGGTCATGAAACCCTCCTAAATGAAAAGGGAAATCTTGCTGTCAAAGGAAGCATCATTTTTTTTACCGGCTACTGCTAAGTGACTGGCTGAACACAGTCAAAACAAGGCTTCACCTCTGATTCAGTTAGCAGTTTGCAAATTCCTCCTAATTGTGCCCTGGCATTGATCCAGGACATGCTCTTTTGGATAATGTTTCAAACTCTTAAGCAAGCAATCAATAATCTCTTTTTATGGTGATCGTTTGGGTTAACAGGACACGAGTGACCACATCATCAAAGAATTACTTCAAAAATGTTGGAAATTGTCGAAAGATGAGCTGAACTTAGCTTTCCATAGAGCTCTCTTTCTGAATTGCCAGCCTCATGTAAAACCTATATGGAATTCTCTGTACATAGTTTATTTGTCCAATATCATCCATTTTGTGGATTCCATTAACTGAACCTAGTTTGCAGAAGATGTACCGATCATATTGCCAAAAAGAGCAAGTAAAAAATGTTGTTTACAGTCTGAATCTAAATAGCAGATGATGTCGTTGAAGAAAATAGAACAAAGATGTGACAGAACATAAACATGTCGTTGAAGTACCTTGGTTGCATTTACAATATCGATTCATTTTGCCGACTTACCTGTCCAAAAGTACTCCAGTTCACCGGTTAGAACAAAATTTAGTTTCTTTAATTAGCATCCATTTTGTTGCCCGAACAGTTCTACGTTCATGTTGGATCCTCATTGATCTACAGTGATACTGCTGAGTGAAGATCTCAGAGATTTGTTCCAATTGCGGATCACAGAGCAAGAAGATACTCTGCCTAGCTGCCTTGTCAAATCCTGTCTGAGAATCATGTAACTAGACCCTCCTGAATTTAAATGGGACAGGAATCATGTAGCTAGACCCTCCTGAATTTAAATGGGACAAGAAAATTTGCTGTCAATTTTTTTTTGGCTACTACCAAGAGACAGACTGTTGCCAGTTTGCAAAGTCATACTTATGTCCCAGTTGATATTGTTTCAAGTTCTTAGGCAAAGCAAGCAATAATCTTACTTTTTTGTAATGGAGATCAGCACTCAGTCCTTTTTTTTTTTGAATGAAAGCTATCCTTTCCCCAATTTCATTAACGAAACCAAGTAGTCTTGTTCTTGCAACCAAAACACACCCACCTCCTCATACCAGATGAACATCAAATTTCTTCCTAAAGCTATGCATTTGCCAACCCACTCACTCCTGACTCCTCGAATTAGGACATTTCTGTTACCAGGACAGGAGTGATCAAATCTTCCAAGGATGACCAATGTTCAAATATTTACTATTCAACAGCCAAAGGATTTCACATTTTACTCAGTTAGCAAGAGGATTGACCACATGACCGAGGAACAATGTTGTGCTCGTCTTCTCCTCGACCACGGCAAATAAGAACGGACGATCTGCCACAAAATCGACCAGACGCGGTGGTTTGCTTGGACGCGCACTACCATACATCATGACTATGGCCGTGGTAGCAGCGGCCACGGTGCCTTGCTCGTCCACCTCGATGGTGGCCTTATGGTAGACCGCGCCGATGGAGAGCCGTCCATCCCCACCGCCCACCATGCCTGAGAAGTCGCCGCCTGAGAAAGCCCTGGTGACACCAAGCTTCTGCATGTCCGGGGACGCCTCAAATTCAGACGTGAACTTGGACTTGGGCACCATGAACTGCCCCACCGGAACTTCCTCTTCCGGCGTGTGCTTCCTTAAGAACTCCGGCATCGACACCGCCTTGTCGTAGAGATCCGTGATGCTTAGAGTGCCGCTGTCTGGGAGAAGGATAAGCATGTAGAATGCAGCAGCTTGCCGCTGCACATGGTCGCCGTCGTTCCTGTAGGGCAGCTTGAGGGCCCTGAAGCCCGGGTAGAGAGCGATGTACTGTGACCGGCCTGTCGTCATGGATGGCACGCGCACGGTGGTGCCGCCGGGGATGTGGAACGGCGCGGTGAAGACGTCGAACGGTCGACGCCACGCCCCTTTGAAGTAGAGCGCGTTGGCGAGGACGACAGCCGTGGACGAGTCGACGGAGCCGGGAGGGAGGATGTCACGGATGCGCTGGTTCGTTGCGTCCGCCACGAAGGAGTTCACGCGCCGCCTCGCCAGTTCGGCCCCTGACACGAAGTCCACGGATTCTGCCGTGGCGGCGTACCGCGACGCGCCGGTGGCCGTGAACTCTGGCCTGAGCGCCAGCCTCTGGTCGACCCACACGCCACAGGCGAAGGACGTCTGCGTCAGGCCGTTGAGCCTTGCCCACAAGCTTGATCGCCGGCGAGCGGTGCAGCTCGTCGAGCGACGCTGACCCGAGGAAACCCAGGAGCTCCCTGCGGGTGTCGCCTCGCGCGCCGGCGGCCACCATCGCGAGCGCCGCGTGGATGGACAGCGGCGAGACGACGAAGTTGCGCCCCGTTCCGGCCGCCTCCCGGACCCCGGCCTCCCTGGCGAGAGGCAGGCCGGACGCTTTCCCGGCCGCGTCGCTCGCTACCGGTGACTCCTCCGCAGGGTCGCCACCAGGAGCAGGAGGCGCGTCGGCGAACAGGGTCGAGCAGAGGTGCCATGCGGTGAACAGGGCCAAGCAGAGGAGGACGACCTTCCCGAAGGGCGACATCGTCGGAATCGCCGTGGGTTCGTGGTAAGATTCGGATAGGATCACATTGGTTGAGCGCCGGAGATGGTGCCGGCGGCGGAGCTGAGCCCCTACCCTGGAACTGGGAGCTCTCGCGTGTGCGTTAGGGTTAGGTGAACAACGTACTGGGCTTCGAGCCCAGCCAGCCTGCAAAGCTGGCTAAACGGGCCGGGAGAGCTGGGCTGGCACGGCACGACAGGGGCAAAACGGCTGTGCCAGGCACGCGGCATGCCAGGGCCTGGAGGCTGGGCACGCGGGCCGGCACATCGCGGGCCTCCAGCCCATTAAGTTTTTTGAGAAGTTTTTATTTACCTATCTATGGCCTAAAGAACAACCCAATAGGCCAAATATGGCTAAAAACAGCCTAGCAAGCCATTAGCCTAGCAGATATGGCATGCCTAGCATGTTGTCGTGCCGACCCGTATAGCAGTTGGGTCGTGCTTGGGCTGGAGGGTGCAGCACGCGGGTCGGCACGACACGGCATATTTTAGTAAACATGCCCCCACGAGCCATGTCTTTGTGCTCAATAGTTCATAGATTCTTAAAGAGGTTTAGCCCCTGACCGAATCACAAAAGGGAGTCTACTTAAAACCTGATATGGAGGGTTTCCCCATCAACATTTGGCATGACAGGTAGGCGACTAAGGCTCCAAGTTTTCTTGGGCTTCATCAGAATATTTGTCAACCATGTCGGGAGAGCATTCTCCACAAGTCTCGGAGCACTCCCATGTCGGGAGAGCATTCTCCACAAATCTCGGAGCACTCCCATGATACGTCTCCAATGTATCTATAATTTTTATTGTTTCATGCTATTATAGTATCAATCTTGGATCTTTTAAAAGCAATTACATATCATTTTTTCGGACAAACCTATTAACTTAGTGCCAAGTGTCAGTTGCTGGTTTTTTCTTATTTTTTGTTTTCCAGGAATTCAGTACCAAACGAAGTCCAGAAATGCGCGCCCAAGTGCCTCGTGGGCCCCTCGTTTCTCCTTTTGACCTAATTCCGACTCTATAAATTCTCTAAAATCGGGAAACCAACAAAGGGCCACCCAAAATGCTTTTTCCGCCGCCGGAAGTTCCTGTTCTCGTGAGATCCTATCTAGAGGCCTTTTCCGGCACCCTGCCGGAGCGGGAAAATCGATCACGGAGGGCTTCTACATCTTGGTAACGGGAGAAAAAACTGAAGAAACTCACCTCCCTCTAATATATTTTTCTCTAAAGATTGCAAGGGCATAATTACCTGTCCTATGTGTTTTTTTGGAAAACACATGTCTTGTGTTAGAACACCTTAAGTGATGATGATTTGTGTAACAAGGTTCAGACGTAATGACTCTCTCTCTCTCTCAAAAGAAGAACTCAACGGTAACGAACTAAACTTGAGGTAACTGAAGATAGAATAAAAAAGCTGATATTTTTTTTCAGATTTTTAGTCTACTGGTATGTGAATGCCTATGCTTTTCTAAAAAAAGTCAAAATTATCACACTATGCTACAGTACCCTCATTTTGTGTGTGTGTGTCGGGGTGGGGGGGGGGGTATGCTACAGTATCCTCACGTGGTCAGGACCACCGGTCGTATCCATGTTGCGCGTGAGCCTCGTCCAGATGGATTGCTATTAAATTCCATAGTCTTTTTGTAATCCAAAAGATTGAGACGAATAAAAATAGATCGTACCTTAGAATGCAATTAAACCCTGCTAATAATTTTCATTATCTTTCGAAGAGGATTTTGTAATAATTTTCACTATTAGTACAAAAGATTGCGCCGAATAAAAAATTGGCGACGATGACGATGATGCATAATACGATCACGAGATCGATGGCCATGGCAAGGACCACCGGCCGTATCCACGTTGGGCAACGCGTCAGCGGCCAGATGGACTCCAAATGGACTCGGCCGCTTCTCAGCATCCCTCCAAACCTGCCTGCGCATGCATGCATTCATGTGAACCCGATCTCCACCACATTCCACAGCCCCAACCGCTTCGCTATAATTGCCTGCCGCGGCCGACCCTGCTCGCAGTACAGCACGCAGCTGAAGCCGCTCACACCTCATCGTCGCCCTCCTCCTCACGTCCCTGATCTGGACGGCCGGCTCTGCGGGAGATGGCCGCCGGCAGCAGCAGCTCACCGCAGTGCCGCCGAGGGGCTGGAACTCGTACGACTCCTTCTCGTGGATCATCGACGAGGCCGCGTTCCTCGACAACGCGCAGATCATGGCCAACAGGCTGCTTCCCCATGGATACCAGGTAGGTGACAACCCGGTCCATAGTTTCATACGATCATACTGCATTTCTTCTCTGCTGCTGCGACAATGCGACATGACTTGAGATGCTGCACGCACGCACGCAGTACGCGGTGATAGACTTCCTGTGGTACCGGAGGATCGCTGCCGGCTCGGGGGTGGGCGCGTACGGCTTCGACAGCATGGACCAGTGGGGGCGCCCATACCCTGACCCGCAGAGGTTCCCGTCGGGCCGAGGTGGCGGAGGGTTCAGGCCGATCGCCGATAAGGTCCATGCCATGGGCTTCAAGTTCGGCATCCACCTCATGAACGGGATCAGCACCCAGGCCGTCAACGCCAACACGCCCATCCTCGACGTCCGCACGGTACTCGTCTTCATCTTGATTCTTTTTTTTTTCTTTTGTTATACTTCTGGAGTAGTATAGCTTTTTTTGTCTTCAGGTTTGGTGGGTTGCTTACCACATGTTCCACGTGGTCTTACCCACTGGAATAGCTGAACTTTGCTTCATTTTGAAGTTTTTTGTAGTTACTATTTTGTACTCCCTCCGTCCGAAAATACTTGTCATCAAAATGGACAAAAAGGGATGCATCTAGTACTAAAATACATCTAGATACATCCCCTTTTATTCATTTTGATGACAAGTATTTCCGGACGGAGGGAGTAGTATTTTGGTACAATCTTTCACGTCCAGAAATATATGCATATTTTCGTATCTATTCTTCAATTATATCACCATCTTCTTTCTAATTCTAGTATAAAAGAGCGAATGTTGGAGATCCAATGGATCTCACCCGCTCATCCACGTCAATGCAACAACCTATGTTGATTTGATGTTTAGTGCTAAACATGTTTAGCATGCTCAATATTACATTTACTTCCCCCAAAAATATTATATTCACTTAGTACTATTACTATCCAATTATTATTGTTCGGTAATTATTACTATCCAATTATTATTCCCATAGTTATTACTATCCAATTATGTCATGTAATAATAGTTGCTATCTAATTATCTCCAAACAGCACATGATCTTGTTATACCAACCATATTTCCGTAGACAAGTATATACCCTTGTCTAATCAACAGCTAGGATCAAATTGTCTTCTTACCTCTTTGAAAGTAAGATCGGGCATCGTCTTAAAATTTCTCATCATGACAGTAGTAGTTTTTTTTTTGCGGGGGCATAACAGTAGTGGTAGCTTAAGCGGAGTAAGTTACCTCGTTACAGCCATAAAAGAACGGAAATGTTAACGCCCACATGTGTGGGCATTAGCCAACTCACCCACACGTCTTCATCACCGTCCAGTAACTTCTGCACGAATCTTGGCACGAATTAGCTGATTTTGTATGCCACGTAGGACAACTCGTGTGTGTGGTGTGTGAGAGAGGTCGCCCACACATCCGTTTTACCATACAAAGTGGCCGGTGTGTGGGCGTTCAGCAGTTCGCGCCACACGCCACTTTGCACGCGCACACAAGGGCTAGTGTGTGGGCATTTGCCATCTCGCCCACACGTCCGTCTCCTCTCCCACACCCAAGCTGCTAGTTGCCATGTGTTTTCGCAGCGCACATGGCAACTGCCCGTAGTGTGCTTTATAAGCAGGTGTCAACTCTCTTTTTTTATCCGAGTTGCCATGTGTTTTTGCAGGGTACACGGCAACTGCCTAGTGTGCACGTAAGCAGATGGCAACTCTCTTTTACCGAGTTGCCATGTGTTTTTGTATGGTACATGGCACTGCCCCAACGTGCACGTACATGGCAACTGCCCTAACGTGCACGTAAAAAGATGGCAACTCTTACTTTTTACATGGCAACTGCCCTAGCATGCTTGTGAGCACATGACAACTCTCTCAACTGCCTAGTGTTAGTATGTGGCAACTCCTAAAATTATGAAATCATGGCAACTACATTAGATCAGACCATACATGGCAACTGCAGTTGAGCAACCATGGCAACTGCAGTTGTCCGACATGGCAACCGTAATTCAGCGACATGGCAACTGCAGTTAAACGAACATGGACGAGGGTCTGGACCATGGCAACTGCGGGCGCACGGTGGGCGTCACGCGTGGCGTGCGGGACCAGGAGGGTACGAGGCCTGACATACGGGCGTGTGGGCGTTATCAACTTCGCCCACACACACGCATGTGAGAGGGTTCGGGAGGGAAAAAAAGAGGTGTGTGGGCATTAGTTGTTTTGCCCACACGTAGATGTGTGGGGTGGTTGCTGTCCATGCCACACGAGGCGTGTGGCACAACTACCTGATACATCACACGTGTGACAGTTATCGGGACCCTAAAAGAAAGAGATCTTAGTGTGTGTGTTTTTGCAATTTTGATTCAGGGAATAGCCTATGTAGAGAATGGCCGACAATGGAGGGCGCATGACATAGGCCTCACCCACAGGACATGTGCGTGGATGCCATAAGGATTTATGAGTGTAAATACCGACTTGGGAGCCGGACGAGCATTCCTAAGGTCTCTCTACCGGCAGTATGTCGATTGGGGTGTCGATTTCGGTAAGCACAACTTCATACTATTTTTAGCTACATTATTCTGATTTTGAGAAGCGGATTGTCGTCCTGTACAATGTGCGACGCTAGAAACTGAAATCTCAGCAACGGTAACATGATGCACCAAATTGTTCTATTTGCAGTAAAGCTAGATTGCATCTTTGGCACGGATTATAGCCCGAAAGAGATCGTGGCCGTTTCAGAGGTATGAATTAATTAATGTAGCCCTCCATTCTAGAATTAGCTACTACATCACAATTGGCAATCTGTTGAGATCAATTCATGGGAAATTCACATTGCGTTTTGCAGATCCTGAAAGAGCTTGAGAGACCAGTCGTCCTATCCATCTCCCCAGGAACCGCTGTCACTCCAGCATTAGCTGAGAATATCACACAACATGTTGACATGTACTCCCTCCGTTTGGAAATACTTGTCATCAAAATGAATAGGTAACAGGAGATGATTGGGACAGCTGGAAAGATGTTCGCCCATATTTCGATGTCGCCAGGTAGATTCCATTTAAACGGATACTCATCACACAATTCTAGATATATTATACTTGTAATTTCTAGTAAAATTTGGTTTATTTTATCTTCTTTTCACCCCGGATCATATAATACGTAGATCATTTGCTGCTGCGAATAAGATTGGCGCCCCCAGATTGCGAGAGAGGTCTTGGCCAGACTTAGACATGCTTCCATTTGGCTGGCTTACTGATGCAGGTGATCATCCAAACCATAACTTCGTGCCACTTAATTTCTTTTTGTAATGCACGACTCGGTTCTACTTTCAATGTGCATCAGTGTGACTAATCGCTCGAAAATGTTTGATCTTTCTCTCATACAGGCGCTAATCAGGGCCCTCACAGAACCACTAGCCTTACATTTGACGAACAAACAACACAGGTTTGCAATTGAAGAAACTTCATCTCTGTTTCCAAGTTGGAACCCAAAGTCTTAAACCTTTGACCACATTTTTGCAGATGGTACTTTGGTCAATGGCTAAATCACCGCTCATGTATGGTGGGGACTTGAGGCATCTCGACGATCGCACATTCAATCTAATTACCCACCCTACTCTCCTGAAGATAAATCACCACACCAGAAACAACATGGAGGTGAACTAAATATTAGTTGGAGTCCGGATATTCCTGCTGCAACATATACTGCACAACGAGCTAACCTGTGGGTATTTTTTTCAGTTTGGTTATATTCATAGTGAGAGGGCTTCAAAGCCAGATGAACAATCGGGTCGCTCAAAGTCCGGCTATCCGGTGGACGTGACAAACAATGGTGGAATGGTTGTTGGTCTCGGTACATGCAGCGATAAGAGTGCCAGTGGATGGCACAGTTCCTCAGAAGATCGCATTTGCAGAAGCCATGGAATCCAGAATGGCAATACCTCGTTTTGCATATCCAAAGCAAAACTTCTTCCAACATCGTAAGTGGCATGTGACAAAACAATGCATGAAAGGAAGCAGTCCTAATCTTTTGACTTATATGTATGATCCACACATATTATTTTTATGCAGGGATGGAGTTACCATGAGCAGTGAGGAAGACCAAGCAAAGTTTCATCTGGCAGGTATTGACACCGATGATGGTTGCTTGGATGCATCTGTCAGTCCATGGCGAACAAGCTCAGCGAGCCAAACTCCCATGTTCTCAGCCTGCGAATGGCATGCAAAGCAGGTAAGTTCACCACACACATTGGTATCCTGGTAAGAGAAACATGGTCCATGTAGAGTGAGGCTGAAATGCAGAATTTTGTGGAGCATTTTGTGTCATGAAATTGCTATTTAGCTGTCATAATAACCAGAAAATGGACATTTTATCATTTAACTTTGGAAATGAACTTAAGTCGTGGTTGATCAAATTTTACCGATAACAATGGCAGGTCTGGGAGCTAACAGAGAATGGACAGCTTGTAAGCAGCTACTCAGGGTTGTGTGCTACAATGCGATCCAGCAAGGAAGGAGGTACAAGTTACTCTACACCGTTTCACCGTAAATGACGAAAAAGGGTTTCCCCCCGCTTTGTATTTCAAAGCAACCAACCGAACATCCAAGGATAGGTGCTGGGGCGGAAGCAGCACAAACACACCCAAAAGAAACGAAAGAGAAACAACAAAAGAAAAGAATGCCGACAACGGCGGATCGACGGAAACGAAGAAGCTTCACAGCCACTGCGCCCACCGAGGGTCTCCCACCAAGCTCCAAGGCTCCGAAGCACCGGTACCAATCAGCACCTCAAGAGGGACCGCGACGAAGATGACGCTGCTGCCAAGGGTTTTCCCCAGTACCCGACGAGGCGAGAGGAAGGGTCGCCCCCGACGCCCTCCAGGAAGGTCCGGCGACACCCACCGGCGTCGCCGCGTCGATGTCGGACAGGCCGACAGAGGTTTCCCCCGATCCCAACCTTCACCTCGGGTGCTCCAGAGCCTGCCACCAAACCGACCACCAACTTGCGCCACCAAGGTCAAGAAGCCTCCACGCCGTCTCACCACGGCACCACGAGGTGAGGTCTGCACGACAAGGGATAGGAGCCGGGACTAGGGGCCGCGGACCGTCGGCACGCGGGAGGGCACAACCTCCACCGTCAACAACGGTAGCCGACCGGACACACAAGCAGGAGCTTACCAGGCCCGTGTGCCCACAGGCCCGGCCGGGAACTCCATTCCCGGACAGCTCCCGCCATCGCGCTGCAGCCGGCATGCCATCGGCATCGCCGCCCCCCATCCAAGCCGCTCCTCCTCCTCATCACACAGACGACGACGAAGCCACGCCGGGGAGCCGGCCCGCTAGGACCCAGATGGGGCCCGCCGGGCCCAGATCTGGGCCGGGGTCGCGACGACGGCCACCCAGCACCACCACGCCGCCCCGCCGCCAAGGAGCGGCGCCGACACCACGCCAGCCGCCGGCCGCCGCCGCAGGGCAGCCGAACCGCAACCACGCCGAGCTGCACCGCCGCCGCCTCCCTGCCCCGGGAAGGGAGCACGCGCGCGCCGGGAAGGGAAGGCCCGTTGCCGCCGGAGCCACCCGGGCCAGCGCCGGGGGCGACCGCCGGCGGCGGCGACCGGACAAAGGGGGAACGGGAGGCCCGCGGAGGAGGGGCACGAGCTCCGCCCCGACCACCGGGGAGGCGGCGCGAGGCTGGTCTGGACGGGGGAGAGGGGAGGGAGGAAGGGGGCGGAGGTGGAGCGCGGGGCCGGCGGCCGGCGGCGGCGGGAGGTGGGGAGGGGGAAACCCTAGTCGCCTCTCTCCCGCTGGGAGCGGAGGCCTCGAATCTAAAGGCTCTTTCACCATAAATTAATCGCTATTTTTACCTAAGTAACACTTTTGTTTGACGCAACAGAGAATGAAACTACTGGAGCACGAGCATGGACAGCAATTGGAGACAAAGGTACTTTTATCTAAGCAGCATGCTTCTTTGCCAATGCACACTTGGCGAATAAGTGTCCCTTTTCTTTGGCTGATTCTTCTTCTTGCATGGAAGCAGGAGAGATCTACGTTGCTATCTTCAACCTCGACAGTGCGAGCAGGAAGATCACTGTAAGCGTGCGGGATCTAGAAAAGGTTGTCGGGAGAAAGTTGGCAAGGTGCACCTGCACTGAAGTCTGGAGTAGAAAAAGATGGAGTCTGATGAAGGGGGGCATCTCAGCGGTGGTGGCCTCGCATGGCTCAATGTTGTTTGAAATCCAGTGTTGATGTCTCACTAATAATGTTCACCAGTTCAACTTGGAAGCATAGGATGATTGGGGTGTAAATTCTCTAGTTGTTTGTTGATCCTTTTTAGAACATACTTCTAATGAGCTAAGCATTTTAATTGATATTAGCAATGTGTGTGTGCAGTGCATGTTTTTTTTTTCAAAACGGAGGCAAAAGTTTTGCCTCATCGATTAATTAAGAAGAAGAGAATTGCCCAGTTAATTAACGGGAAACCGGGCGAAAACCAATACAAACTGAGCACAAACGAACTACTCACACGACATGAAACCCCACAACCGCACACTCACACGGCATGAAACCCCACAACCGCACAGGCGGTCTGTCACACTCGCTAAATACACAACATCCATAAACCCAGAGGCAACTCCCAACCAGAAATGACAACCCAATCAAGCAGCCAAAGACGTCTTGCCTTTGGCGCCACTCTTGCGATTGCCCACCTTCTTTTGTTTGTCCTTTATTGGCGTCCCTGTTAGGAGGCAAGCAATCGACCTACCTAAACCAGGTCTAGCAACTTCAACACTGGCTAGCAAGTCACAAAGTTCCTTCGCGAAGAGAGCATTTGAATTTGGGGTAGGTGCCAACACAAGTGGCTCCGTGGTCATGCCACTCACAGGCATCACCTGCCCGATGGTCACAGACGAGGGAACGACGACATCATCTAAAACTCCGCTCTCCATGACGTTGAGAGGTAGGTTGTTTGACGCCTGACAAGGCTCCATGGGGGGTGGTGAGGACACCAAGTCCACCTCCGAAGCCTGGGGAGAGTCCAACTTGAGTTGCTCCATCGACAAAGGTGAAACAAGTTCCCCACTCAACATCTGCAGCTCGGGCATGATCTGCAACACCGGAGACACTACCTCGACGGAGGCCACACCCTCGAAGTCCGGCAACACTTGGGGTATCGAACTGGACCCAACACGGGGCGAGAAGCCCGAAGCACGAGGGGAGAAGCATCCATAGAGATCCACATCTTTGTCGCCCTCGAAGTCAACGACAAGCTTTGGCAAAGGAGGCGACATAGGAGGGAGTGGCGCCTCGGCCGTCGCAGGAGATAGCCTGCCCAGAGCAACCTCTGCACGCTCCAGAAGGCTCCCAGCCTGCAGCAGCCATCCGTGCATTGAATCAACCACATCACTCAGAGGCTGAATTGCCTTCACCATCTGCAAGGAAGCCATGCCTTGCAGCTCAGAGCGTAGCAGCTCGGCTTGCGCAGTAAAGATAGACTGAAGCGCCATCTCAGCTGAGATTGCAGAACCAGCAGAAGAAGAAACAACCGACACCCAGGAGTCATGCTGGATCGCCTTGGAGGGAAGCGTGGCATTAGATTGGGTTTGACATGAAGGTGGATGAAGATGATGAATGGTGTCAAGGCGGGACAATGACGAAGCAGTAGGGTTATCGAGCAAGCTGAGGGGACGCCAAGCGTTCCGACACTCACGGGCCCGATGGCCGTTCCCCAGGCAGTGAGAGCACCGAAAGGGATCCCTGCACTTCGCTGCACGGTGTCCAGAAACAAGACACCTGCAGCATCGACCATGGAGCCACGCAGGGATGGGCCGAGGGGACGAAGCCGGGGCTCGAGACGCCAGACGATGCGAACCATGCCGCGGCCGCACCTCCTGCCAATCCACGCAGGTAGCTGCCTCATGCTCAGCGCTCACCCCGCTGGAGCACTTGGTAGCCAATGGCGATTGCGGGGCCAGCTCAACACCATCCTCATCATCTTCGTCATCGTCGTCGTCGTCGAGGGAGCTCCACAAAGACTGCACCATACCCGCAGCCAAAGCATCAGAAGCACCCGAGGCAGCCAGTAGCTTTCCAGCCCTCAGGTCAGAAGAGGGCCCAGTGACATGACCACCGTCTCCAGCAGCAACGACAGGCGATGCGGTAGGTGTTGGCGTCACGAGGACCAGCTTGGAGCTTGCCGGCGACTCGGGCGTGGACGGAACCTCGCGCGAGACCAGCCGCCCCTGCACGGTCGGGTCAGCCTTGCGGGAGGCGAGGGAGGCCGCGGCTAGGCCTCGCGCAGATGGCGGCGGCAGACGGGCCGGGGCGACGCCGACAGCAGGAGAGGCCGGGACGGCTCCCATCGTCGGAGCAGCAGGAGAGCGAGGCCCGCCCGAAGTTCTCCGCGAATCAGCCGCGGTTTGACAAAGTAGACTAATGAAAGATTAGACATGTAAATTCCAAAATCTGGATGGAACACACTGATAAAAAAAACGAATTGTCATATGAACCTTGAAAGCGAACCCATAAAATATCCATCCTTCAATTTCAGGTCAAAGCAATATTAAGATATTCGTAAAACAAAACTTGACATTTTTATTGTGCAATTCTGAGGCAGGTATCAATGTGAGTATACCATCCAAGAAAACACAGAAAAAATTCTAAAAATAATAACAAAGATGTACAGCATCCAAGAAAATTGCATGCTGGGCTAAATTTTAGGCGGTTACACCCAATCAAGTGGGACAAAACCCAGATCACATCTACTAAAGATATTACCTGCACCATACCAAGCTCACAACCTATGTTCTAAAAACACTACCAAAGTGATGTAACTTCACAATAGAGTTGTTGATGTTGCCACTGACCGTGGACATTGGGATGGCCAACACATCACGCGCCATCGTGGAGAGCGTTGGGGTACTTGCCATTGTTAAGCTTCCGCCACTTCAGAATGTCAAATTCTGAGATGTGTGGGATGAGGGTTTCTTCCAAATGCTGATCTAGTCCATAACAAACTGTTAAAGATGTGACATCTTTTATCTGAAGCACAGCCAATACTATCCCTAGTAATAAAAGGTATACCACGTTTACCGATGAAACAAAAATGGTACTATGATTTTATAACATCAATATGAAATTAGAAGCAACCCCTTGCCAAAGGAAAGACAGAACATGGTCAAAAAAATAAGTAAAGACAGGAGGGTATCTTGATGTTGAATGGGATAAGATGGCTCCAGTACCATGTGGATCGGTTGTTTTTGGCGAATGTACATGAGAAATATTCCCAAAATTTGAACCCCGCTATCTAGGATGGTTTCAATTATCGAAAAAGGCTTTCGCCCAGCTTTATATATAAAGCACGATCACAACAACTCAGTACAAACGCACGCCACCACAACACACGCACACACCCAAGGCATGATACATAGGCGCTGAGCGCGGTAACACCACCCCTAGCACTACCACCGCGAAGAGATGAACCCGCATATGGCGAACCGTGGGCTCCAAGGCGGCGCCTTCAGGAAGGATACGACACCGGAGCGCCGCCACCGCCCAATCCGAGAACCAGAGTTTCCTCCGGAGCCGCACGACGGGCAATGAGACGACGCCTTCAAGAAGGGAACGAGCTTCGTCGCCGGTCCGTCCGAAGATAGAAGATGTTTTCACCCCGGCCAGAACTCACCGCCACCGAAAGCCACACCCCGGCGACCATGCCGCCCACACGGCCATGGCCACCGGGCAGCACCAAGCCACGACCTCCGCCCGAGAGACCGCACAACCACCACCAGGGCCGCCGCCCTGGCATCCATGACCTTGACACCACCTCACCCGAGACCTGCCCCTATCCCAACCAAAGAGACGAGCGGAAAGGTCCCACCTTTCGCACCCCTGGATTGTTTAAATATTAGGGTGGGCCTAAGGCCCATCTAACAATTTCTGGAAATCTCTAAGGGCCCATGTTGGTTTAATTGGCACTAGGTGTAGTGGGAAGTTTAGTCCCACCCCAGAAGTTGGAGAGGAGTGTTGGACCTCCTTATAAGGGTTTCTCTTCCACATGCTATTAGACCTTGAGAAGAGAAGAGGCCCTCGCGCACTCCTCCTCTGCCGCCCGCCTCGCCACACCTCATCACGACGCGCCGCGAGTTATGGGAATGAGTCAAGTCGAGCTCACACCTATGCGTTTATTTTTGCCGGTAAGTAACAGAGAGTTTCTGACAGCCGGGTCACAATCTGAGATGTCGGATCATGGGTTGTCACCGACTCGGACGTGGGTCAAGCCCATGCCTCTCCACACGTCCATGCCCCGATAAGTGAGCCGTCTGCTAAACTCTAGCTGCCACGAAAAGATCGCATCTGCTCCACGTGCACCACCCACTATCGTTCCTTTGCTGCTGCTGCCGCCGGCGACTCCATCCTGTCTGCCACATATACGGTTGATGAGAGAGCAGATCTTCGAAACCCCGTCTCTCCGGATCCTATACAGGAGAGGGGCGATTAGATTTTTGGGAAGCGACTAAGCGACTGCTCACCTCCGTTCATCTGCTTTCTCTATGTTCGTGTTGCCTTCATCATCATCATGTCTCTGACCGACGCCGATCATCTCACCGCCGAGAAGCTTGAGCTGACAAGAAGGCCGCCGAGGACGCCGCTGCTGCCTCCATCGTCACCGCGCTTCTACATGGCCTACTGGAGGGTATAACGCGTTTATACCTCTCCTGCTTATTTTCGTATTAGCAGTACTATTATTATGTGTAGATGTGTTTACTGTTTGCATAGTACGTGCTTTCCTAGATCAGCATCAGTATGTCATTAATTCTGACAATGCCATGCCAGTGATTTATTTATTGATTAGATTAGTCGAAACATTGCCTATTTTCTCAACAAATTGGTCATTCTTGAAGCAGGTGATGCAAAAGTTGGGTTTCTCTCATCGATTGGTGGATTGGATTATGTCTTGTGTCACATCAGTGAGATACTCTGTTAGATTAAATGGAACCCTCTTGGATTCATTTGCACGGTCGGGAGGTCTTGGACAAGGCGATCCTCTTTCACCATTCTTGTTTCTTTTTGTGACTGATGGTCTATCTGCTATTCTTAAGCATAAGGTTGGTTATGAAGATATTACACCGGTTAAAGTGTCTAGGCGAGCTCCTAGCATCTCACACTTATTATTCGCAGATGATACTATGCTATTTTTTGGTGGCCTCACAGAATCAAGCATAACATGTCAACTCTTCCCTGGAATT